CTTTACATATCTGGTAAAATTTTAATGGCAGAGTTTAAATACAGCAAAATTTTTAGCAAAATTGTAATTTCATTATATAGTATAAAATGTTACATAATGACTATGTCATTTTTGCTATATTAATAATATTATCAAAATTTTGTTAAATTTAAGATATGAAAATTATCTCTATATATTAAAGCAGTAGTATAATATTCTACACACACTTTACAGTTTTCATGATATAACATATCTAAACATACCACCTCTTTGAGATGTGTCTGTTCGATCTCTAATTATCCTGATAGGGTCAGATAATACAATATATATATATATATATATATATATATATATATAATTATAAGCTAGCCAAGAAACATACGTAAAGCATGCATTTGCATGCAATATCACAACGCACGTACCACGACAACGTAGTTTCCTTCCACGACGATCCTCGTCGGATACGTTCGATCAATCGAAGAAGCCGCAACTGAAATCGCCCAAGGCTGGACATTCGAGACCAAACCCGGCGTCGGCCCCGAATTCCCCGCCGATAGCACCACTGTCACTCCCACCTGCATCGCGTGGAATGACCCGATCGCGGAGCTATAATTAAACAAGCCATCAAAAGGTGGATTTCGGCCGAACGATGCCGAGATCACGTCAACTCCGTCCCACAGTGCGTCGTCGAAGGCCTTCAGGACATCGGCGTCGCTGCAGATCAATTCATAGCCCCAACAGGCCTTGTAAACCGCCACGCGAGCCCTAGGTGCCCCGCCGCGGGCAATCCCTTTTGCCAGGCCTTGGAAACTCGCGCCTTTCGCTATGGAGCCCGCCGCCGTCGAGGCGGTGTGGGTCCCATGGCCCGCAAAGTCCCGGGCCGATCGGTATTCAGAAATATTTCTTTCTAGTAGGGATCCGTATTCGGCTTCAAAGCCTCCAGAGTAGTACCTCGCCCCGATTAGCTTGCGGTTGCAGTCTTTTTTAGGGTTGAACTTTTCGCCTCTCTCGCATTCTCCTCTCCATCTTGAGGGGATCGGTTTCATACCTGGCTCTTCTTTGAAGCTATCAGATTCTGGCCATACACCTACACACACACACACACACACACATATATATATATACATATATATAAAATAAATTATAATTACACACAAAGTACTTATTATTTCTTTTATATTTGGAGATGTATAATTAATTAAATATACATGTTTTAAAAATCATGATTATAATATATATCTATATATATATGTGATCATGATTAAGAGATCATAGTTATTAATTAATAACCTGAATCAATGATTCCAACAATAATGTCATGACCATAGGCAAGCTGAAGTGGAGTGGTGTGATGTTTGTAAGTGTTGGTCAAGCTAAGCCCCAAGAAATCCCAGCTTCTTGTGGTGTGAGAATGCATCATCTTGCTTTTGAAAAGTGATATTACTTCTTTCCTCTCTGCATGATATATATATGCCACATTAATCCAACAGTATGTTCGTGATTAATTAGAAATTTTTCTATCTTGATGAGCAAATGAGGATGGGAAAATTTTAATTAAATTTATAAAATCGTAATTATGAGGTAAATACTGGCTAAGACAGCTGCTTGGCTCGAATTGAGGATTGTTGAAAACCCCGAGAAACTGTGCTTGTAACTATACAGCATGGATTGCTTAGCATCTTCTTCACTGGAAAATATATAAGATGATAAAAATTAGCAAGGCAAGAGCCAATTAATATGTTAACAAGTAGACTGGTTAGCATTATTTAAGAAAAAAAGTAGTGAGCGCACAAAGAGAGAATAAAACCTAATTAAGTGATCATCAATTATATATAAATAACTAGCATATCACGGCAAAGAATATTTGAAAATGCTCATAATATAACAATCTAAAGAAAATTAACCTAGAGAAGACGCTTGAGAGGAGCTGAACATGGTGCTTGGAAGTGAGCTTTGGATCATCATGACATTTGCGCCCTAAATAAACTATGTAAACCTGAGGGGATAATGAAAGGAAAAAAAACAAAAAATTACATAACCGAAGAAAGAAAAGAGAGAAATACGCTAATGTCAATTAAAGTTACATGAGAAAACGATATACATAAACAAGAAAAAATAATATATGCGCGAAAAAGATAGAGATAAGAGGGAAATGCACTAATAATTAAAGATAGCAATAACAAAAGGCATGTGTAAAGCACTTATTTTTGGATGCGGTAAGTAAATTACATGTGGCGTGGGAGATGAGTGAATAACATAAAGCGAAATTAAGAGCAATAGGCCCCAAAAGCATTGGAAATTAGTAGCCATATTAATTGTAATATTGTATATGTAATAACCACATGGTCTGGTCGGGTTTATATATATAGTGCTGGGAGTTAGGGCTAATAAACTTGTGCTTTTCCAAGTGGGTGCGTGGGCTCCAAGGTTTTCAAAGCTTCAACAACACTGACATATGTACCTTCCTCTACATAATTATTATATTTTCTCCTCTTAAAGTAGCTAGTTAGCAGCTTGTCGAATAAAATCAGTTTATACCTTATTTAATTAATTTACTCTCTCTCTCTCTCCAAACCAACTTTAATTTATACCTGTATATACGATGCTTATGTAAAATTATAATTACGATAAAAAATCTATTAGCTAGGAACGTATATGCTTACAATTAATTTAGCTTCATCATCATATATTATATTCTTTCTTTAAATCAAGAGAAATTCACGTTGCCTTCGTCCTCCATGTCATTGCAATATTATCTTTGTATTAGCTCTTTATAACGAATTCTCTCTCTCTCTCTCTCTCTCTCTCTCTCGAACCAAATATTACAAATTTTGGTGGAAAGCCTTCAAGTTAAAAAAAAAAAAAAAAATACACAGACACACACACACACAACATACATGCATACACATATATGTTTATTTGTGCTTGTACATTGATAATTGATTGCCACAAACACGCTTATTATTTATCACTAAAAATACATAAATGCATATACACACATGCACACAATTATATCGACCGTTCTAATTTTAAATTTAATGCCATATATATGGCTGGCTAGTGTTAATTACATAGTCTAGTAGACAGCGTGTCATATTTCTATAAGGACTTTCATCAAGGTAATGGATGAAGCATGAACCTTTTTTTTTTGTTTTTTGTTTTTTTCTTTCTTGGTGAAGTATGGAGTACTCTTTGTACATCTACATAGGTAGAAAATAGTGATGTTTCCAAGCTAGCTAGATATATATATATATATATATATACACAGTTGTCTTATTCTTATGTTTTGTTTGCATTTGGTTTTGTTTTGTTTTTTTTAAAATTATTCTTAGTATCTTTCCTTCTTAGTTTTTCAAGACATTCTTTTCTTCTCTATTAATAAAGTTTTTGCTTATTAAAAAAAAGCTTGATATAGATTAGAAATCCCCTCTTTTATTATATATAGAAGTTTTGAGTTTACATTCTGTTCTTAATTTCTATTCCTTTCACCTGATCATAAGAGTCTTTATACAATTTGTTGTTATTTATCATATTGTTGGTATGCCCTACGCCATACTATGATGATTAAGCATCATAATAGGATATGAAATAATGAATAAATGTATATTTATGGCAAGAACCAAAGTAAATCTAGTTGGAAATGCTAATTTGTCTACAAGAAGCAACTAATTTTCAATTAAAAAAATCATTGCTTGGCTTGAATTTTTTTCTTCACACATTGCGTAATTCGAGGTTAATCGATCGGTTACGTGAATAGAGGTTTATGATCAAACTTAAGATCACTTTTGAGGCAAGTTTTTGATTTTCTAAGTTAAAAATCACATCATTTAACCTCTCCTATATGAATGCTAAGGACTATATTTAAGAACAAGCAACAAATTTCAGTCATAACAATCTATTATTGCATGTTTAACAAATCATAGTATAATTGAAATCAAGTATACACATCTATTTTGCTTTGGTAAGCAGGGATTTCAAGTGCAATACATGATAAAGATTTGCTCTCTCAGGACATTTTAAAGTTACTGAAATCATATAGTAGAATTTCGATAATCTCTACTTATATATATATATATATAACATTTACTTTAATACATAAGCAAAGATGATCACTAGTTGGCTAGTTGCTTCACATAACCACAATCATAATTAAATGTATAAACACATGTCTTGTCTGAATTGATGTTGGGAAAAATGGTAATTAAAGGTAATACAAACATTATATAAAAGATTATAATTAGCTATTATATATTGGATAACAAGATTAAGAGCTAGCTAGCTTTGCGTGTTAGTTGCTCTTTGTTTTGGCGTGAGGACACAAGAGTGACTAGTCTAGTAATAGCCTTGCAAATTATATCATATTACTAAAAAAGTAGCTCCCAAACCTATCGGATATATTTTATTCTCCATATATAAATAACACACGACACATGAACAAACTACAAAAGTAAGGAAGAGGGCGAGAGAAGGGATATAATATATTAATTCATTTAATGTAGAATTATATAATATTTGCAAACAAAAAAAAAAGAGTCAAATATAAATTTAACATTATAAACAACGCTTTGCACCAATTTCCTCGTAAATATGTTACTACTATTCATGAGTTGTATTATCTCGCTAGTAATTATTCAAAAATAACCAATAATATTGACGTTTAATAAGTTCTTGCTACACTCCATAAAGAGCACGTAAATCAAGGTTTTTGTTTTCAATAAAAAAAAAACCCTAAGTGCCTTTTATTTGTGACACGTTCACACAGAGAGATAAGTATTGACACACAAGGTTTTGGCGAGAAATTAAAACAATATATATAATAAAATTCAATTTAATTCTTTCTCTACTATTTCTTTCACGAAGTTTTTTGTTTTTGTTTTTGGAAGCCGTACAAGTTGCTATGTGAGCGAAATGCCAGACGACGTGTTCAATGTGGAGGTAAATCTTTGCCTTTTTTACATACTAATTAGACGCAAAGAAATGCCTCGAAGTTTTGCAACGCCTTTTGTGTTGTCGGGCAAAAAGCAACTTATGTTTGGCCTTACCTAGTTGCATGGCTTCGGGGATTCAGCTAATAAGAATGGTGTAAAATGACCTTTTTGCCCCGTTATGAGATCAAGTACATGATTATTCACTCGAGAAAATTAATCAGCATATTTACTGAAATCTTGCCAAAGTGGGGCCCCGGGGTATCATTACAAGCATTCGATTAAGGAAAACTCTGGTACTACTGAATTAAGGTATAATATTTCATGATTAAAAACATTAGCAAAGTATAAACTACTATAATTGTCAGTGTATTAGTGCATAAAAGTTTTTGCTTTATTATTGTAATGTAATTGTTATATGATACTCTATCACCCGAATATAATTACCATAATATGATCTATAACTAGCAAGTTATACATGGCTTACTAATCCATTACCAGCATATAATTGCCATCGCGTGATCAATATATAGGTAGCTAGTTAGATATAGCATTTGTAATTAACGTTTGTAATAATATATAGAGTTAAATTTATGGATAGTCCCTGAACTTTTTTTTCTTTTACAATTAGTCTATATAGTCAATTTTTTTTATGAATAGTCCTTAAACTTTAAAAGTATCTCATAAATGGTCATTCTGTTAAATTTTTTATGGAAACTGTTATCTTTGTCTTATTAAAAGGTCCTTAAACTATATTGTTTCTACTAAATTTAATCTCTAAACTTAAATATATATATATATATTATCTTAAAAATTATAAAATCAGAAAAAGAACTAAAAAATTTAAAAAGTCAAATAAAAAATAAAAAATAAAAAATGAAAATCTCTAAAGAACAACAACACAGGTCGTCATTTTGTCCACTAAAGAAATGAGGCTAGAGAGGGAAGGAGCGGCAGTGATGGATCGCGTGTGCACGGCAAGGGTAGGAAAGGAAAATAACAGAGGTGATGAGCAGATGGCAATAGAAGGGCCAACAAGCACAGGGCTAGGGGAGGATTCCATCCAAAATTTAATCAAGAGACGATTTATGAAACACTTTTAGAATTTAGGGACTTTTCATAAAAAAAAATTTAATTTACATAGACTAATTATAGAAAGAGAAAAAATTTCATGGACTATCCATATCCATGAATTTAACTCTAATATATATGGATATATAACATTATGATTAACAATACATCATATGGATACACACTTCTGTATTCATTATTCAACTCCAGTTTATTGTGTATGCTTACACAATTCATGATTATACTAGGCATGATTACCTCAATGCGTATGGTTATTGTTTATGCGCGCGTGAGAGAGAGAGAGAGAGTATGCCCTGCTAGCTTTCTTTCCATGTCACCTTTGGTCATTATCTATATCTCAACCATTTTCTTATAATGAAAATCGACAAATAGGCAGTATATATATATACAATTTACATGAGGTTTTGGCCCACTATGCATTTACAGGTGAAACTTAAAAAGGAGATAAATACCCGGTTCTTAGAGTATATGAGTATGAATTTTATCCTTACTTTTAATTAATATCTTTTTTAATTAAAGAACAATATTAGTTAAAAAGGTAATAATAAAGTGTAAAGAGTAAAAATTCAGAATTATACACTCTAAAGATAAGTTCAATAATTTTTTCTAGAACTTTCCTTGTGGATTATCGAGTGGATATCAATGGGAAAGGAAACAAAATACTTTTGTTGTCTTCCTATCATATGTTTTACTCAAAGAATCACGTCGAATAAAAATCCAAGGAACGGACATTTTGGAAAAAAAAAAAAAAAGCAATGGAGAATCTGAAGACCACTACAATTGGAGATTAAGGTATTGTTTGGTATAAGGGTTCTGAACTCAGAACTATGATTTTGGGTTCAAATCAGTTTTTGTTTACAAAAAGTAAAAATTGGTTCTGATTTGACTCACCCAGAATCAATGTTTGGTTTGAATGGTTATGATTCAAGATTTGAACCCTAATGTAATGTTTTAAACCATGAATCGCCCATGATTCTAAAACCACCTCCCTCCTTAGTTTTGGCTGGTTCAAACTCCTGATTTTAGTTCTGATTTCAGAATCATGATTTGAACTCAAAATCATGAGTCATGGTTCTAATTTTAAAATCAAAACTAGAACCACCATGATTTAAACTTTTATACTAAACAAACTTTAAACCATACTTACTCAATGAGATTTTATGGAAAAAAAAAAAAAAAGAATTACGTCGTCTACATGCGCACTGACGTCGAGGAAAGAAAGTAGGAACCCAAAAAAAAAAATATTGAAAGGAAAAAAATTGGTTTGGACTCTTGTGGAGCATAATTAGTAGTTCCTCATTACCAACAGGAATTCCTACTCTCACGGAGAACTGCTAGTGCAGAAGGGAACCGCTTTATCAGACGAAACTCTTTTCATGCATAATTCGAGGGCTTTTCATTTATCGGAGTATTATAAAGAAAAATATATGAAAATCTTTTTACAACAAAGAACACACACCGACACAAATATATACGTCGTTCTCGCTGATCTTCTCGTCAAGTCAACATGTTATACCATGTTTAATACAAAATGCCATTCTCAATGTCATATTTAAAATTAAAAATATGAAATTAAGTATTTGATACCTTAGTCTGATTTGTATATACATAATATCATTTCCAATGATATATCTACTTTTTACCATAATTATTCAGTTGTAAAAGTATATTTTTGATTTCAAAAATTAATTTGGAAATGTCAATATAATAATGATTAAATGAATAGTAAATGCATAAAACAATAGTAATCAAATACTAAAATTTGAAATATGTTATAATTTTGTGTTAAATTTGTCACAAAGTATAACATATGTTAAATTTAGTATCCAAAATAGATCAATTATATTGAAAAGTTATTTTTCTCCTCAAATGACAGACTAATTTGCTATTTCGTTAGAGATTTCCTTATCCTTTTTTCTAGCTTAGATGAATGTAGGACGTATGCGATACTAGTTATTTAATGGAAAAAAAAAATCCACTCCAAATATTAAGTTTCAATTAATAATAATTTTATTCAGGTAGTCCTCGACACTGATCAAGCATAAGTAGAACTGATGTCAAAAGCTATTCCAAAAACAAAAGTAGATTCAAAGACAAAGGAAGAAACCTAAGTTGCGCTTGTAATGGTACGAGTACTTGTGGGGCCATAATTATAATCGGTGCCTGCAATTGTGTTCACACATACAACCAAAGGACTCCTAACCTTATGGCCAAAACCATCTGACCAAACTACTTCCCCAAAGTCGTATCTGTCTTGAGAATTCTTCTTTGGTATGAGTGTCACGTAATACGTAATTTCTTCTTTGGACCATGAAAAGACTAAAACCCTAGGCCACACCACAACCTCCACTCCATCAGGCTTAACAATGCTGCTGAAATACACGGAAAATTTGCTTGGACTAACGTTGCGCACTGTCCTTTTGATCGTCGTAGCAGACTGAAGATCGGAAACTGTGATCGAAGGGTAATTTACGTTGGCATTCGATTTCATTACGCGCGAACAACTAGTGTCGATCTCTGGGGAGGAGAGAACCAAGGCCTTTATTTGTTTCTGGGAGTAGCCAAGGTTGCAGAGGAACAGAATGTAATCAACAGTTTTCATATCGTAAACTAAGCCCGGATCCATTGCCTTCAAGGGTTCGACGTGACCAGCGCCAATGTCAAAGGGGTCGGAAACTTTCTTTGAATCGCCATTTAGAATGTAGTCAAGGGAACTGTCCCTCGTATATGCTGTGACAAAAGACCAGCCCATGATCAATTTTTAAAAGAAAGAAAAAAAAAATGGAATTTTTAAAATCAAGATCACCTACTTTGGTATCGCATTAGTATTTATTATTTGCTGAAAAATTAAGCTATTAGGAGATAGAATGGGATTGAAATTCACGCATTTCTCAAATTTCATTACCTAAAAGACACATAATAACACAGATATAATAATCTATATAAGAGTTAATAATAGCGATCATATCTCCATATCTCTTCTTTAAGGTTGAAAAATTAGCAGATTGGAACTCGGACACTTGTTTTGGTACCATGTTTTATCTCTTGAAAATGTTAAGAAATTGTTTAGAGCAGTACTTCTAATGTTTTTACCTGTTGTCATGAGAGCGGACTTTATTGCGGCGGGAGACCAATTTGGATGTGCAGACTTGAGAAGGGCGACAATGCCAGAGACGTGAGGGCATGACATTGATGTTCCTGAGATAATATTCCAACTAACCGGTTGTTTGTAAAAATCAGAAGGAACAACAGTTGGAGGCGTTTTCGTTGGCCATGCAGCTAATATATTTACTCCTGGAGCGCTTATGTCTGGCTATTGATACGACAGTACGTTATACGTGATGTGCACCAAATTAAAATAGATCAATGGATCATTCCATTGATTAAATTAAATAAATGGATTTCTGAAATATTAATACAAATTATTTTTAGCTAAATATATAGTCTCACAATATATATATATATATATAAATATATATAAACTCATATACCTTAAGAATATCGGGTGCAAGGGAGCTTGGGCCTCTTGAAGAGAAGGATGCAACTCTTGGTGCTAATGACTTTCCGATAATAGTTTTAGCTGGTGCTATTTGCACAGTAGGGAGCCTACATAAAATTTATATATTAATAACAAATGATTTAGCATAAAAATTAGAGTATTATAATTTCACCAGTAGTTATCATCACATACAGGTACGTGCATACCGCATATATATGTATATGTGTGTGTGTATATGTGTGTGTATATATATATGTATACATACACACACATATATATATATATATATATGTTCATGCTGTGTTTTACCTCTGAAACAGAGCAAGATAGTGCTTAATTTTAGTTCCTTGATCAATGTCAACATAGACAGTAGGCCGAAAGGGATCAGGACCCGTCAGCTTTGTCACAGCTTGAACGAAGATCAAAGCTGACGCATTGACACCAAAAGCAGCCGCTTGTGCATCTCCAGCCTCTACCGGTCCGACGGAGGAGAAGCATAGCATAACCCTTCCGGTGGCTGTTTTTGAATTTTTCCGATAATTCAAGTTGCAAATCCTGAACCGTACGCAACGAATTATATGCATAATGCACGTTTTTTGGTCTTCAGAGGATGGTGATATAATTTACGCATACATGAGAGAAGAAAAAGTTCTTTTTTTAAAAGTTTTTGAGTTATCAATATAGGCATTTCTTTTACTAATTTAACCCCCCATATTTACTTTTTAGTGGTCAAGCTATCCTGAGGTTTATGAAATCTTATTATTAATTTTTTAAATGAATTTACCCTCGGGCCTCAATTAACAGACTATCTAAAAAAACAAAAATATAGTACGAGTTGATATAAGGGTTTTAAGAGGGATAAAATGGTAAAATAAACAATTAGATATAAGAGAAAGTAAGAAACTATTCTAAAATGAAAAGAAAAAGAAAACCTTATTTGGACCAGTGATACAATCTAGCTAGTTTTTTTATTTAAGATTTGCAGGTTTTTTTTTTTTCTTTCTAGATTTTTTTTAAACTGTTGCTCGTTCCTTTTATTATTTTCTCTTCTCACGTATCATCGTTGTAACAGATTATGATTAGGAATAGCAGACAACTTATTAGCTATGAAGTTAAAACTATGTATTAATATATTTCATGATAAATCTCAAGATAGCTAAATGGCCTATAAAAGTAATTGTTGGGAGCGATGAAAAGGGAGACAAGTGCAAGTTCTTAGAGGTCATCGTGTAAATATTCTGAGTCTTATAATGAAACAGATCAGTTCATATTTGATCAGGAAATATAACTCATAGTTAGTCCCGTCCAAATGGTCGTAATATCCATTCAAGTGTATATACTACTCACCCATTTGTGAAATATGTAATTGGATCCACCAGCTTTGCAGTAACTGGTGAAGTAATGAAGCTTTCCCCCTGCAAATGGTACTAATTATATACATGATATGTCAAAAAATAGTTTCTTTCTCTCTTGATATGGTAATAAAAGGTATCATACAGTAAAAACTAAAAAAAAAAAAAGAAGCAATTACCACGTAATGGTTACTTTTGTTTTTTTTAACCCTGTTGTGATCTCACGTCCCAATACACCACATGAAGTACAATTTTTATATGATATAATTCTTTAATTGGTTAATTATAATGAACATTATTTTATTATTTACAATATCTAGTAGTCACCATTACTACTAATTACATATTAACCAAAACATAGATTGGAAAAAATAGATTAGTGGCAGAGAAAAGAGTCGCAAACAGGAAACAGACATTGGCCCGTTTCGTTCTCTGATTCGAGTTTTTAATTCGAGTTGAGATGTGATTTTATGTGAGAGCTTTTTACTGTAGTAAAAAAGTTAGATGTGATTGTTTATGAGAGCTTTTTACTGTAGCAAAACTCAAATTTTAAACTCGAATCAGTGAAATGAACGGGGCCGTAACGTAATTAACCATGAATTGGCCTAGATTTAACTGCAATAATAATACCATGATGGAGAAGTTGCTTTCCACAATTATGTTGGTCGGAAACTTTCTATCGACAGAAGAGGCAGCAACAGAAATACCCCATGGCTCGACGTTTGAGACAAGACCCGGATCCGGTCCATCATTTCCGGCCGCAAAAACCACACTGATTCCCAGTTGCATTGCATGGAAGGAGCCAATAGCGTTACTCGATGCGAAAAGCTCCGGCAATGGCGGCGTCGACCCAATCGACGCCGATATCACGTGAACGCCGTCATGCAAAGCGTCGTCGAAAGCCGCCAATATATCCGCCTCACTGCACTGTCCCATGTAGTCCTTTCCCCAACATGCTTTGTAGACCGCCAGGCGAGCCCTAGGCGCTCCGCCCCTGGCAGTGCCCTGCCCTAACCCTAAGAAGCTCGCGTCGTTGGCTATGGACCCGACCGCGGTGGAGGCGGTGTGAGTTCCGTGGCCGAGAAAGTCTCTTGGTGATCGGTATTCGGGATTTCCACTCTTGTTTAGTAATCCGTACGACCTCTCGAAACCTTCGACGTAGTAACGAGCACCAATTAGCTTCTTGTTGCATGCCTTTTCAGGGTTAAACATTTCTCCTTTCACACATTTTCCTTTCCAAGTTGAAGGGATAGGTTTCATCCCCGGTTCTTCCTGAAAACTTTCAGATTCCGGCCATATACCTGTCTCGCATATATATATATATATATATTGCCGAATGATGCATGAAGTGAGCAATATAATTTATGTAATATTAGTTCTTTATGAAACATACAGACACACACACACACAGATATACCATTCATACATAAATACATAATATGTATTCGTGTGTGTGTGTGTATATATATATATATCGATTACAAAAGATAATTATGTATATGTTGAAGACCTGAATCAATCAATCCAACAATGATGTTATCACCATAGGCAAGCTGCAAAGGAGTGGCTTCGTCACTATTGCTCAAGCTGAGACCCATGAAGTCCCAGCTTCTGGTGGTGTGTAACTGCAGCATCTTGCTCTTGAAAATGGATATAACTTCTTCTTTCTCTGCAGTATTTTATACGTTAAATTGTGTACGATATTATAAGAGTCGTGTACTACGTATTATAATACAAATTTTCAGTTTTATGTATATTGTTTTTTTGGTTTGCCTTCTTTTGCTAAAGAATTTTTTAACTCGTTCAAACGTTAAGAAGAAAGGCCGAAAATTAATTCTGTAATTGGTCCAAATAATGTAAATCTATTCGTATTGGTCCCTGAACTACTGAAAAGTGCTATTTTAGTTCCGGAAGAATGGTCGTTCAAGTGGTGATTTATTACTAAAAATGTTCCATGCATGCAACTAATATGTTATTTAAATTATTTTATTTTATTTTTGTACATTGAGTGGGGAAACAATCCTTCAGAAGTTAAATTATTTTCTTTTTTTTTTTCGGGAAAGCTAACTTATTGATAATAGAAAGAAATTACTTTTAACATTGTAATTCATGCAGTCAATACTTTTAACATTTTTTGTTGAAGTTTTAACTGAAAGGGACTAAAGTAAGAACTTTGCCAAATTTTAAGGACGAAACCTTAAATTAATCCTAATTGTATGAATTTTTTGATATCTCCGTCAAAGAAAAGACTGATCTACTATTGATCTTAATATAAGGACAAAATCAATGTTATATACCAGCTTATTTATGTTTTATTCACCAATTATATATATACATGAAGTACACATATATATGATCAATAAAGAACATATAAAATTAATGAAAAGTTGTAGAAGAGGTTAGCATATTATTTACTGGCCAAGGCAGCTACTTGGCTTGAATTGAGCATTGCTGAAAAACCCGAGAGACTTTGCTTGTAGCTGTAGAGCATGGATTGCTTGGCATCTTCTTCACTGAAACATAATAATTACGCAAATAAATAAATAAATAAGACTTTATCAGACATATTCTAAAGATAGAGAGAGCAAGAATTGACGTTGAAAAGACGTTAGAAAGGAGTTGAAGATGGTGCGTTGAGGTGAGCTTCGGATCATTATGACTGTACTTGCGCCCTAAATAAACTATGTAAACCTGCGAAATATATTAATATCAAGAATTTGATAAAATTAGAGAGAAAATGATGTTACATTAGATCATTAATAATTAAAAAAACAACCATTAAAAGGAAAAAAAAAAAAAGGGTGTTCGAATCTCTAGTTGGATTAAAAGTTACTTCAGGCGTGGAAGTTGTGTGAGAAACATGATGAAATGAAAGGAGGAGCAATAGGACCCCAAAACAGTGAAGATTACACGAAGCCATTTTCATGTGTTTTGGATGAAGAAGCACATGGTTGGTCGGGGATTATATATAGTGTGTTGTACGTACTTAAATAAAGGAGGTATATCTATAACATGTGCTTTCTTAGTGGTCGGCATTCCAAACAAGTGGTAATATAGTGCGCGTGAGCTTCAAGGTTTTGAAAAGCTGCAACACTTCTGACATATTTGCTTCCTCTGTTCATCATGGTATTTTTCTCTTCTCTTCTAAGCTATAGCTTGCTATGTCTAGTACTTGGCATAAATATGTGTTCTAGGATAGGTCGTTTTCGTTTTCATTTTCTCTCTCTCTTTCCACTATTAGTTGGAGTCTACGTGTTGTGCCTATTTTCTCTATATATGTACTTTAGGTAGGAGCATAGCAAAGATTACTGTCAGAAATGTTCATCATACAGTTTGCTTTGAATTAATGCCACTAAGAGAATCGCATGTGGCTTATCATCATTATATCTTCTTAGCCTGTTTCAATTAGATTGTAATAAGGTAAAGTCGTCTAGCTTTGCTTAATTATAAGGGAAAGTGGTCTGGCTTTAACTTGTTAGGGGAGGATGGAGTTGTTAGTGGATGCTAATGTAATTTTTATGTGTCCATTTTTGTTTATACATGAGTAAATTTATTAAGAGCATCTAGACAACTTTCTAAATTTTTGTTAAAATAGTTAGAAAGCTATTTCAACTAGCGACTCATTTGAGTGAGTAACTTTAACCGTATTTCTTATTATAGCTAAACTATTTTATTTTAATATTTATTGAATTAAAATATAAATAACTTTTTTAAATTTTAAAAAGAACCCTTGCGCATTTATTACTGTTTAAAAGAATAAAATAATAAAAAATAAAATGGCTAGCCACTTTTTGCTAATTATATTTTGCCAGTATGAAATGCACTCTGGAGTTGAATATGTTTTAAAATTGATCTTAACTAAAATAAAGGGACTAAATTAATGTTTATTAAAAAAATGTTACAGAATACATTTAAAAAAATTATCATGTATATAAAGTTGTAAGTTTAAACCGGATCAAACGGCTGACCCAAAACTCGTAACTATTAGCCCGGGTCTGGCCGAGATTGACCAGAACCTCCGGGTGATGGGAGAGAGAGAAGGGCGAGGGCAAGGATCTAAAGAGAGAAGGCAGAGAGAGCAGGAGGGAGAGAAGTTAGAAAGAGAGAGAAAAAAAGAAACAACAAGTTTGAATTAGGGTTTAAACATGAGAAAGTAATGTTTTGAATGGGGGTATTTTAGTCTTTTAAATAATAATCAAAATATGAAAGGGAAATCAAAGAGCAACGTATAACCAAAAGGACAAAAATCCAGAACAATATTAATTAAAGTTGAGAAATTGTAGAGAACAACATTTTTTTTTTTTTGGATTGGGAGTGAAAATTAATAGCATTATTTAATTAAATAATTAATAACACAAAACAGATTAAAAAATTATCCCCGAAATGCCATGCAAGTGTCCATCAAAGCCTCTCCACCATTGCCAGCCATCGCCCAACAAGGGCGAGCTCCTTCAGTGTTGACGCGATCTTTCTTGCCCAGATCTGGTGATCAATCTGTAAGCTCTGCCGACGAGCACACCATCCTTACGCGATCTTCTCCAACAAACTCCTCCGGCGCCGACGTGCGATCTCCCATATCCGGCGAAGGGATCTTAAATTTGCGATCCTCGCCTCCGCCATCTCAGGCAACAACTCTAATAGCACTGACGAGATCTCTTTTATCTTTCGTGGTTAAGAAGATGAGAGTATGGAGCTTCGACATTCATCTCTGTAGACCTCCAATGGAAATCGAGGTGAAGATCTCCATTATCACAACGTTGTCGAACTCTATTGTCGTCGGGAGGATAGAAAAGTCAAACAGATGGTGAGGATAGAGAGAGGGAGCTAGAGCGACAGACGGACAGAGAAAGGAGGAGAGAGAGAATTTGGGGTTTTATTATAGGGGTAAATTTGGAATTGTATGGCGTAATAAATATTTTCAAATAGTTCAATAATTTTCACTTATGCCTCGTTTATTTCACCGATTTGAGTTTTTAGTTTTAAATTTTTACAGTAAAAAATTCTTATAAAATATCACATCTAATTTTTTTTACTACACTGAAAAGCTATAAGAAAATATCACATCTCAACTCGAATTGAAAACTCAAATCCGTGAAGTGAACGAGACCTTAAAGTTTTAACAAGAATAATCTTGACAAATAAAACGTATAAGTTATAATTTTTATTTTTTATTTTTATTTTATAATTTTTTTAGTTAAATAATTATATTAATAAAAAAGTATTTATGAAGAGTAAAATAAAAGTCCACTCACGAGTAAATCTCTCCTTTATAGCAAATGTTGTGAAGCCCATTATAAACCTTCAATAGGCCAGGTCCAAAGGCCTAAAGTTGGGAATTCAACTTTCTCTCTAATCTCGTGTGAAACGCGAAATACTATTGAGTTGGTATTGGACTACACAAAAAAACTCGTTTAAAATCACGGTTATACAAATTGTGAAAAAATAAGGAAAAGAAGAAAAAAAGTAAATTAGATTAAAAAGATTTAAAATAAAAGACATGAAAAAAAGACCGAAAAAGTATAAAAAAGTTCAAATTAAAAAAAAGTTTCGTTGCGTGGAGGGAAAAAAACTTTCGCACATAATTAAGGGAGAAACGCATTCTCCTTAGTTATGTAGAATAAATTTTATCTTATAATTTTATGTATAAAAGTGATTCGGGTGAATAACTAGACTTTATAAGCGATATTAAGCTTAATTCATACCTTTTTAAACTTATCAACAAAATGAATAAAAGAAAAAAAATAATATTACGAGGTTAATTATCAACGAAGAATATTTTTGCTACTATAAATAAATAGCGGCACACCTCATTTTATAGTGGTGAATTTTTTCGTCACTAATAGCCTTTTCTTATAGTGAATTTATGGAAATTTTTTTGGATGACGGTAAAAATTTATAAAAATTATAATGCATTAAATCACCGAGAACTTATAATTACTATAATATTGTCGAAGTTTTTGCTGAGCTTCCTCATCGATGGTCGTTGAGTCTCGGCTAATGTTGTTTGTTGCACTAAACCAGAAAAATCCAACAGAAAGTGAGGAGTGGAAATACAAATGGCAAGAGAGATTTTTTTTTTTTGGCTGTAAAAAATAGAAATAGAAAGAAACGGAACAGCGTTTCTTCTTCTTCTTCTTCTTGTTTTTTTTTTTTTTTTTTTTTTTTTTTTTTTTTTCTTTTAAGAAAATGTCATTTAATTGGCTACAACAAGGATTAAAGTTCACTATACAAGCCACGTTTTTCTAACATGCCTACATTCGGGTAAGAACATGCGCGAGGAAAGTGAGATTGATTTGTTAGGAACTTGGGATAGTCTTCCATTGTCGTTTTATGTTTTCCCTTATGTGTTCTTTGGTCGTTTGCCCGGTTGTCGTTTGGCATTGGCTTTTGGCCTTTAGTTATATTTGTACTCAGCTGTATATCACTCGTCAGACGAAGGGCCAGTTCAGATTTGGTAATTTTGAAAATATATATTGTTGAATACAATTGGGGCAGAGAACCCCATTTCTTCCTGTGCCATGAATTTGGCTTAGATCTCTTCCATTATGCTGCGTCATAATTAATGTGATTTTTGCAAAGTTTTCTGACGTAGTCAGACACAATGGCCGAGTTAACCTTTTAACGGAGATAAAAGTCACATCTCAATTTAAATTGAAAATTTTAAGACTGTTTATAAATCTATAGACTTAATCCACCTTACCCCAACCTAACCTGAAAAATGCAATTTTTAGTATTAATTTTTTTTTTCAGCCCATTCAATGTCTGGCCCGAAGTTTTGGGACAGGGTATGGGTTAGGCCTATAATGACTTACACACCCCAACCCAACCCGCGCCCTAACTTGTCTCCTCTAATATCTAATCCTAGGCAGATAACTCATTTCTACTCATAGCTTCTTTATGTTTAAATTAAGCCTCCATGTTTACTTTATGTTTGATATTGGATGAACTACTTTGCTTTATGTTTGATGTTAGATTGAACTTTGAGTTTTTATCTGTTTAAATGTTGGAGTTATTATTTCTATTTGATGATGAACTTTGAATGTTGGATTGAACTTTGAGTCTTTAATTCTTTAAATGTTGAAACCGACTACCCACCCCGCACCGCCCCAACCCAACCCAAACATCATTGAATTGTGAAATTTTTCTAACATCATTAGAGTAAAATATGTGCAACCCACACCCTTTAAGGCGGGAAAAGAAAAAATTCTACCCCGCACCAACTTAATCCATGCACTTTTTAAAAAAAAAAAAAAAATTAAAAACAATAGAATTCGGTGGAAATATATATGTAAAAACCGAATCTTAATAGGACAAAATGAGAAAACCAAAATTTTTTTCTAAGGGTCACAAAATATATATTATGTAGGGAGGTTCGAAAGAGGGAACTTTTGGGCCACCGTGCACTAAAATCTTTCCCTTTCACTTAGAAGTCCTGTCATAATATATAAATGCTGAAAGCAGCTTTTTGGAGATCAGAAGGGATTAATTAGTCATATTAATGGTGTTACATTGTTGAACTAGCCAGTAAGCTTAATTTCTTTCTATGCATATGTGCGTGTTTCCAACTAAGTTGACAAAGCAATGGATATCTTTATGATTTGTTTACATCCCACACCTAAAATTTAATGTGGAAAATTAAGCAATTTACGGCTTTGTTTAGAATTGATTTCGTTTTTATTTATCACGTTTTTTAAAAAAGAAAAAATGAAAACGTTTTCAAAATGACGTTTAGTGCAATAAAGACAAAAAACTGAAATAAAAATGATTTTTTAATTTAGTGTAAAATGAGAGAGAAATGAAAAACGACTTTTAGTCGTTTTTCATTTTTTATTTTTGTTTTCTCCTCTCTCGAGCTGAGAGAGAGAAAGATAGGTATTAATGAGTTTTTTTACATTGAAAACAGTTTCTTGATAAAATTATCAAACGTATTTTCAAAAATAATTTCTATCTGAGATTAAAAACGTTTTCATTTTCATTTTCATATTAAAACAAAATTATTTTGGAACGAATTTTAAACGCGCCCTACATTTCTTCTCCTTTAATCAAGATTTGTTAAATAATTATCTCATTCATACATATGGTAAACGTGAACAGTAGTAATAACATATATTAATATCATCTGCCGACCATTAAGACTATCCATAATTTATTTTCTCGATTAATTATGTAAGGTCTGCCGCCAGCAGTAATCACTTTACAGGGCAAACTCTACTCTTCGTGTTTTTTTATTTATTTATTTGGTACTAAAAAGTATAGATAGAAATTCTTACAGATTACGACTTTATGTGGGGCTCACAATTAGCCGTACATATATTCATGTATTCATATTTCTGGCATAGTTTTTGTGTTTGATAAGAGAGTGAATAATCTAGAGAAGCACGAGAAGTTTCTAAGCGATATTATAGAAAGGATTGAATGAAAAGCAGTTGTAGAGCACTACATTTGTACCCCCCAATCTCCTTTCAACACAAACCACGGAAAATTATGCTTTCTTTGAAGAGAAATTTAAAAGTTTTATAAAAGAAAATATTGTATTAAAAAGATGGGACTTTTTCTAGTGGTTTTTTTTAGAACATTGATATTTCTTACTTATTAGTCATTGAATATGTATTAAATCTAATTAAAAGTCAAATCATATATTAAAAAAATAATATAAATCTAACAGTTGATAAAAAAGAAACACGGATATTTTTAAAAAAAAATTCCTTAAAAAGATATGAACTATAATTGAAACCCATAAACACAAGGGGCACCTACATTTTCAATAAAGACATTTGATTAACTTTTTAATTACATACAAATATATATATACACACATATTGGGTTTTTTTTTAAGGTTCTCTAACATAAAATATAAAAGTAAACCTATTTATTACAATGAAAAAGAGAATAAAAAAAAAGGAAGATATGAGAACACGAAGCTTTAATGTGATTTGGTAATGTGCAATAGATTCATGAATTAAGAAATGACAAAAAAAATTCACTAGGAACGAGAACAATCAATGGCTTTATAAAAATACAAATTACAATTACAAAATTTGATAAGTTACCAGAATTTGATATGAAGACCAGATTGAGATTAAAAACCAGTTATGCTAGTTAGTGATTCAAACGAAACGCTTAAGAAAGAAAATTGTATACCGAGTACTAAATCCGTACACCTAATTACGCACCTTAAATATTAAGCACTATATGACTTTTTAAACAATTCATCTACTATGATGGAAAGATTCAATTGATAGAGAACGAGCTACTAATAGCACCAAGGCCATATATTACATCACAAAGAAGCAAATCTTGTGAAATAAAGGTATATAACTTACACCAAAGAGTTGGAAAACACCTATGTATACTATTACACAACAAACCTGAATAAACAACAAATTAAAGGCACACAAACACAAATAAAAGGTGGCTTCAACAACGCCCTTACCACACCGTAAAACTAGATAAAGCAAGGAAAAAAAAAAGTTTTGGATCGATCACACGACCGAACAAGCATATGATCACACGAACCCTATGTTTTGGATAATGCAATTGTGCATGTACACTGAGACTGTGTTTAGAATTGTTTTTGTTTTTATTTTTTACGTTTTTTGAGAAAAAAAATAAAAAAGAGAGAGAAATAGCGTTTGATATAATTAAAGACAAAAAATAGAAATGAAAATGAATTTTTAGTTTAGTGTAAAATGAGAAAGAAAAGAAAAATAACTTTTAGCCGTTTTTCATTTTTTGTTTCCGTTTTCTCCTCTCTCGAGTAGAGAGAGAGACATTAATGAATTTTTTATACTGAAAATAATTTTTTGATAAAACTACTAAATGCATTTTTAAAAATGATTCATGTCTGATATTGAAAACGTTTTTATTTTCATTTTCATACAAAAAATAAAATTATTTTAAAACGAGGTCCAAACACATCATAATTTTTTTTTTAGTTAATAAGCTCATTTTTACCTATATAAATCTTCTTTTAAAGTTAAAAAAACGCGATTTATTAACATAAATAAGCTATTTATTACCGCAAAGAGTCAGAACTAGGCTATTACTTATGAGTTTCCTATTTATAAACCCTTAACTTTGCTTGATTTTTTTTTTTTTTTTTGTTTGCTTGTTGAATTTTGAGAGTGAACAAGAGAATGGGAAAAAAAGCCAAAGAAAGCAATTAGGAAAGAGAATAGATCCTTCGATCTTTGGGAATATTCATTAATTTCAACGTTTGCACGTCCTAGCTGCTGTAGTCTGTAGACGATACTGCACACCCAAGAACATGACTACTAGTCAAAAAGTACTTTCAAGGCATTCATCAGATTTATATTATAATTTATAGTATATTTTTTTAATTTAATATAATTTTAATTAAATTTAAGGATAAAATCTACTAATAAGATGGATTATCGTAAAAGCTTATTATTTTTGATGAAAAATATATGTATAGGGTACTAATTAATAAATGTAAATAGGTGCTCGAATATTACAATTGAAAAAGAAGATTGTTGTGATGATAAAATGGGAATTTGATATATGGATAATGGATGCATTGAAGAAGGCCTCATTTACTTCGCTGATTCGAGTTTAAAATTCGAGTTGAGATGTGATTTTATATGAGAGCTTTTTACTGTAGCAAAAAAGTTAGATGTGATTGTTTGTGAGAGCTTTTTACTGTAAAAAAACTCAAATTCTAAACTCAAATCAGCGAAGTGAACGGGGCCTATGATTGCTTAAGTAGCTTGAGAAAGGTACGTGGCGCCATTAAAGCATACACTATACAGACAAGGAAGCACTAGTTTGTGTTTCTAAGTCGACATTTTCTTAATTTCCCTTGATAATTTATGAAAAATATTCCCTCCTAACATATACTTTTTTTTTTAATTTAAATATAACTTCAAGTCGACTCAAAAGAGTAGTATATAGTTTAGTGCTACATATATTTTTTTTGTTTTCCTCTTTTTCCCCCCCTCAAGTGCATTGAATAATAACACTAACTCTTACATTACCCAGAATAATATAATGGTGACCAAACTATTTCCTAACTTTTTTATGTAATTAATAAATACGGAATTTTTTTTTATATATGTATCACTGCTCGTAGAAAGAGACAGATAATCTTAACTGCGTGCAACTAAAATTCTGTGAGAAGTTAAAGCTAGCTAATGATATATGTAGTTTTTTAATTTATTAATAATAGAACAAAAAACACTCTTGATGCTTGAAAATTTAACCTAAGAGTAATTTCACATCATCTATATGTAATATTAAGTTTTTTTTTTTTTTTTTTTTTTTTTTTTTTTTTTTTTTTTTTTTAGGGCTAGGCGGTATAGTGGGTGGTCTCACTGTTTCTTTTTTTTTTTAACCCGCTCAACCGGAATTTTCTATTTATTATAAAAGTATTGTTAAAAGAGTCATTTAGGCTTAGTTCGTTTCGCATATTCGAGTTGAGATGTGATATTTTTTAAGAGTTTTTAATTGTATCAGAAAAAGTTAGATGTTACATTTTTAAAAAATTTTTAACTGTAAAAACTTAGAACTAAAAACTCAAATCGGTGAAATGAACGAGACCTTATATGTTTAAAATTTAGGCTTCGTTCATTTCACCGATTGGAGTTTTCAGTTTTAGGTTTCTATAGTAAAAAGTTCTCAGAAAATGTCACATCTAACTTTTTCTGTTACAGTGAAAAGCTCTAAAAAAATGTCATATCTCAACTCAAATTGAAAACTGGAATATACAAAGTGAACGAGGCCTTAGTGTACCTATTTGATTTCCGTCGTTGAATCTTTGTACACATTTTTTTCTCTTGAGTGTTTTCATTAGAAATTACTCTCCATTCATTGTTTGGGGTCATTTTTTTTTTTCTTAAATAAGTATTAATACTACTATACGTATATACGAGTACTAGCACAGTATCAACTTTTGGTGGTATAACATTGATATTAGCAATAAATTTTCCAAATAAAATGAATGTTAGGTAAGGTTGTTGGAATGGCAAGCTTTCAGCAATTAGCTAGTACAAAACCAAAGATAGGCGCAGCCTCTAGGCCAAGAAGAGAGAGAGAGAGAGAACATAGATAGAGAGACAAAGACAGAGTATATATATACACATATATATATATAGAGAGAGAGAGAGAGAGAGAGTGAGTGTATATGTGTGAGAAAGGAGAATGATGGAAAGGTACTGGTGGGGATGAAAATGCTAGGCACCTTCTATGGCGCACTACCAAAGAAAAAAATTACAAAGGCAAGAAAGGCCACAAAGCAACATTTGAACCGAAACACAAACATCAACCAAAAAAAAAAAAAAAAAAACAACAAATTCTGGACTTCTTGTGGGCCCCACTTCCGCCATAGCCAAGAACCACTGCCCACCTCAACTCCTCCCATATCCTAAACCCATCATTGCCATCAAAGAATCTCTCTCTTTCTCACCACTATTTGCGCCCCAAGAGAAACAGTTCCATTTCTCTCCATTTCCCACTAAGACTCTGCTTCAAAGAAAAGAGAAAACCAGAGCTTTCTTCTTTTTTTTTTTTTAAATGGAAGTTGTTTTTTCCTGTTTTCTTCTATCTTTTGCTATCTGTTCAGTTATGAGTAGCTGCTAAAGGGGCTTTGCTTTTGTGTTTTTGGATTTGCCTTTTGGGTCTTTGGAGTAATGGGGAACTGCTGTTGCAGAAGAGAACCTTCCATTTACAGAGTATCTTCCAATGCAAAATCAGGTTGGTTTGTTCATCAAGTTTTACACTTTTTCATCGCATGATTTTCACTTCCATTAATGGGCTTTTTGAAACGAAGGATTTTACACATGGGTTTGTTTTTTTGTTTTTTTTTGGGTTCTTTCTTTTGAGTATAAATATTGAGAATAGTTTTCGGATCCAAGTGAATATGTTCTGTTTTTCTCTATTTTTGCCCTCTTGCATGATCGGTGAATTACTTGTCTCTTACTTCTTTGTACAATAGGCTAAAATTACATAATGATCTATTCATGTTAGTGAGATTATCGTTGAAGAAACGTAAGTTTTTTTGGTATCTTAGTCCAGAAAAATATAAATATAGTTCTTTTGACGATCCGTTTCCCCTGCTTGTTCACTGTTTCTTTGTTGACATTTAAGTGAAGTAACTTCTTAGATTTCGCAAAAGTTTCTTTAGATTCTCATCCTATTCTTATGTGACCAAAGGAATCCAAAGGATACAATTTTTTGTTAAAAGAAGGTTTTGAATTTTTATTTTATTTTTATTTTATTTTTTTATGATTGGGTTTTTTTGAATTTTTGCCACTCATGAAGGTCAAGGTGGTCCATTTACTCTCCTTTATGTGCCAAGCCTCTGAGTAGTGCGCTGATTCTTATCTCAATATTAGTTTCCATTTGGTGCAACCAAATATCCTTTCCTTCAAAGTCAACTTTTTTCATTACTTTCTGTATAATTTAATTTTATGCCTTTTCATGTTTCTTTTTATTGAGATTTAGTTATATACTTTTTTCATCTTTTAGCTTTGTCACGGTTCATATGGGTCCAAGATCATAGGTTAAAGAGTTTGTCCGTTTCTCTCTCTCTCTTTTTGGTATAATTCTTTATTAAGAATAAAATATCTTAGGATTTAACCAGCAAAAAAAAAAAAGTTATCTTAGGATTTTTTTGATGGACCCTCCAATTTCATTCAATTTAAAATAGAAAGAAATCACACTGATCTTTTTATTGCTTTAAACTAGTAGAGCTTTAGGTGCATTTTTAGTAATTGGTTCAGATTTTTATTTTAACAAAGTTCAAATTACTAATTGAGTAACTGTTGACTACATGGTACTAAATTTGGTTCTTACTTCTTAGAGGTACATGTTAATTTCAGAAGTTCATGAAGCCTTTTTTCCTGTTCTCTTTTTTGACTTTTTAAAAAAAAAAAAAAAATGTTTTTAAGATATTCATAAGCTTACTGATTTTTATTTATTTTTTTTCACAAAGCTAATTATATGTTATTGCAATTTTTAAGGCATCATTTTTATCTTCTTTGCTTTTCTACTAAACGTGGTTCTTAGAGGTAATTTTACGTTAACATCTGCAGTTCATGAAGACTTTGTGTGTGTGTGTGTGGATAAATATGATATAAAAATTCATGAGCTTTACTGCATTGTCTTTTCATGGAGATAATTTTACCTCAATGCAATATTGAAGCCATAAAGCTTATATATATTTTTTGTTTTTTACATTAGAAGATTTTTCCCTTTTTACATAAGAAAAGAGATGCAAGTGTTCATCAATATAGTTGGCTAGATTTGCCAAGTGATTGTTTGTCCTCTCATCATGCTTTCCAGAGTCTCCAAAGGACCAGAGTCCCTCAGTGAAGCCTAGGAAGGAAGTCAAAAAGTTACCATCAAATCCCGAGGAAGTTGAGAGCTTACGCCGCGATTCTGCGGCGAATCCACTAATCGCATTCACCTTCAATGAGCTAAAGCAAATGACTGACAATTTTAGGCCGGATCGGATGTTGGGCGGTGGAGGATTTGGTAGTGTCTACAAAGGGTTCATAACTGAGGGCTTACGAGAAGGACTTAAACCACTTCCGGTGGCTGTAAAAGTTCATGATGGTGATAACAGTCATCAAGGACATAGAGAATGGCTGGTAACTTGTGTTCTAAACAACCTAAATTAATAACAACATTAAGATGCTAGAAGTATAGCTTCTTTTCTTTGTAAATAAGTTAGTAAGTTATCCTGTATTCAGTTACAGCTTTGTGTGTTTCTAGGCAGAAGTTATATTTTTGGGGCAGCTTTCACATCCAAATTTGGTTAAGCTGATTGGGTATTGCTGTGAGGGCGAGCACCGGGTGCTGATATATGAGTACATGGCTCGTGGCAGTGTCGAAAATAATTTATTTTCAAGTAAGTATTTTTGATTTAGTTTTATTTCAATCTAGTTTGTTTTGCAAATTTTGTTTCTTATATAATTTGTATGTTCATATTTAATGATAATGGGATGGGTGGTATTTGAAAGACATACAAATGATTCAGAAATTTATCTAGAAACATCAGAAGTTCTAAAATTTGTTGTGTTAAAAGTTACTTGTGGCTTTTCATGGGTCATTTCTAAGATCTTTAGGATTTTTCATATGCATATTATTTACTCCATTTTTCCAGGAGTGTTGCTCCCTATGCCATGGTCCATAAGAATGAAGATTGCATTTGGTGCTGCAAAGGGGCTTGCCTTTCTTCATGAAGCTGAGAAACCCGTCATTTATCGCGATTTTAAAACATCCAATATTCTTCTGGACCAGGTTTGTAGCTCTCTTAGCCTTTTCTAAGATATGGCAAACTAATGAACATTTGGATGAAACTCGTTTTTTGACATTGCTCGAAGACTCATAAGTTTACTTGTACAAACAATAAAAAAGTTACGTAGCGATTGATATTATAAATAGCCATAAAAGAAATATCCTGAGTGGAAAAAGAAGTCTTGTTTATTTCTTCTGTTCACTGTACAGACTTGGAAAATGGCAACAGCAATGTTGGTTGCGCTTATTTTAATTTGGATCATCATTTTGAACAGAAACTGTACTTGCGTTAATGAATTGGTCCCAAGATTTTATGGATCAATCGAATGATGTGATAAAGATTTTCGAATGAAGTGACAAAAGAAGTGAAATTTTAGTATCCTTATTTCATGTTGTTTCTGTTCAACTTTTTATTATGATTTTTTTTTGCTTGAGCTTAAAATTCTTTTGCGTACTTGAAACAGGACTATAATGTAAAGCTGTCTGACTTTGGCCTAGCGAAAGACGGGCCGGAGGGTGACAAATCTCACGTTTCTACACGCATAATGGGGACATATGGCTATGCTGCACCCGAATATATCATGACAGGTATGTTTCATAATTCAAGCTCACTTTTTTTCCATCAGAATGGCCTCCCTAAGTTCATAATGAGCTAACACGACATTTTCATACTTTAGCGTGGCTTTCGAACAACAATCATAATGCTTCTTCTTCTTTTTTATTTGGCAGGCCATTTAACTCCTAGAAGTGATGTATACAGCTATGGTGTTGTTCTTCTTGAGCTTTTAACAGGAAGAAAGTCGTTAGACAAGTTGCGACCGGCGCGGGAGCAAAACCTCACCGATTGGGCTCTTCCCTTGCTTAAAGAGAAGAAGAAGTTACTCAACATCATAGATCCAAGACTGGAAGGAGATTATCCCATCAAAGGAGTTCACAAGGCAGCCATGCTAGCTTATCATTGCTTGAACCGAAACCCGAAGGCGAGGCCTCTGATGAGAGACATAGTAGATTCCTTGGAGCCTCTTCAGGTCACTGGGGAAGTTTCTGATGAGAAAAGTACCATAACTGTGATTACTGCCCAGGGCCCAGTTGCTGAAGTTAAAATGAAAGATGATATAAAGCTCTACTAATTGCCATTGCCACTGATTTCTTTTCAATAGTATATAGGTTTTCTTTTGTGTATTTGAAACAAGAAAAACATTTTTTTTTCCCAACTTTTTTCCCTGGGTACAAGTACATGGTTTTGGTGAGAACTAGCTATTGGGATACTGTAACAATACGTAAAGATCAAACATAAATGACAGGTACTGTAGTAGAATGTTAGTAAGCATCTGGGCATAGGTGATAATGATATATGGGAACATAACATATCTTTTGTTTAGACTTGGAAACATTACTCAATTGTCAAAAAAAAAAAAAAAAAAAAGAATGTTGACCTGCAATAATTAAGAGAAAACATGTCATTTGGCTGAAATAGAAACTATGAAACTAAAGATGAGTGTAACAAAGAACAGTACGCTTCTTGCCAGGCCACTGCCAATGATTTATATTAGTCTCTACATATTTTCTGAGACGAGAACATTAGGAAATACTCCATTCTTATTTAGTGAGAGAAGTTCAGGGTGTACAAATCTAGTGTTTGAGAAAGAGATCACAACAAAGGAAGCAAAAGTTTTTAGAATGTTTCGTGTCGTTGTCGATTGGTAGTAAGAGAGGATTGTCCGGAGATGTGGTTATTAGATAAAATTCAACTTATTTTATGTTTTAAAGTGCTCTCTTTTATTGACGCCCAATTCTAAACATGTGATTCGAAATGTAAGCATTGTCTATAGATGAAGGAGTGCAAAAGAGGAAGTGTCATATGATACGACGCTTCTGTCTTTTGGTATAAAGTTATCCCATAACAAATTTGTATTTTCCATCAATTGTATCCAGATTCTTAGGTAACCTTAAAACTGTTGTAAAATCTTAAAAATAAGTAACTGGAATATGGCGATACAAAAATGACTCGAATCACGATCCCGTTTGATTCATGGATTAGAAGTATGAGATTAAAATCATTTTTAATTTACGTGTATTTTTTATGAGAGAAAATATTATAGTGAACTATGAATCATGATTCGAATCAGAGAATGAATCTTTCAACTAAACAGGCTAACATTTGTGTTGGATCCTCTGGTGTCAGACGCAATTTATTGAGTTATACTACAAATTGAAGCGTGATCAACACGCAAACGTCACGCCTTCCACAACGTTACAAAACCTATGTCAAAGTATCTTTAACAATTGTTTTTGACTGACATTAATGAACGTTTTTGTTGTAGTGCCCAGAAAGAAGACAAGGCTAAAGCAACACAAGAAATAGATGTAGATGAATTAGATATGAGGTAATATTTGTATTCCATAGTTTTTTTTTTTTAATATACTAATACTTATTTCAGTTACTAATGTTTAATATTTTCTGTGTTGGAATTTAATGATGTCTCAGTGATCATTCGTTTTCTGATTCAAATCAAAAGTCACAAAACAGAATTATATTTAGAGGAGCCTCGTTTGATACGAAGTGTTCCTATGAAAGATAAAGGAGTCTTCTCCAATGCCTCTTGGTCACTCAGTATAAAAATTAAATAAGGTTATTTTACTAATTTCATTTTCTTAGCTGTCATCTCTATCTTATAAAAAGAAAAGGAGATACCATACTGCTATTCATAATATTTTTTCCTTGTTCTTTTCATAATATTCTTCTTTCTCTTTCTTTTTATGATACATTTGTAATTTTTTTTCTTTCTTTAAATTTTATATGGACATAAGTGGATTGAATATATATCTACACATATATACACACATATACATACACACACACATACATATTCATACAACAATGTTTCGTTTGTTTTTAGCCTCTCTTTTTAACAAATTTTTCAGATCTTAGCTACGACAATTAAAAAGAGGTTTTCTTGGTTCTTACATGATAAAAAAAAGATAAATCATTTTAGTGCTCTTTGTTGTAGTAAAACATCTCGCTGGTACTCAGAGTCTTTAATAATACTAAAACAATACCTTTACTTTTAAAGAAATATTTTTTTGGTACCTTGAAACTAATTTTTCCTTTTTATTAATTAAATAGAAACTAATAATTTTAAAAATGTTTTCTAAAAACATTTTAATTTTTAAATGTTTTAATATATTTTCAGAATTTTTTTTAAATTACTAGTTTATTATTAATTAATAAAAAAGTAGAATGGATATTTTATGTCCTAAAAATCAGTTTTAGGTACTTAAAAGAATTTATTTTTTTAAAAGTGAATGTGTCGGTTTAATATTATTAAAAACACATGATATCAACGAAATGTTTTGTTATAACATAAGATACTAAATTGATTTTTTCCCAAAAAAAAAAAAAATACTAACGATTTGACGAGCAAATAAAAGGTGGAAGATTGAAGCTGAAATTACAGATTCAAAGGGAGAAGATCAACACTAATGTGAACAGGGATTTTTTATTTTTTATTAATTAAATCTTCTAGTCACGTATTTTTTCACTTCGGGGATTCGAGTTTTTAATTCGAGTTGAGATGTGACATTTTCTGAGAGCTTTTCACTGTAGCAGAAAAAGTTGATGTGACATTTTCTAAGAGCTTTTTACTGTAAAAACCTAAAACTAAAAACTCGAATCGGTGAAATGAACGAGGCCTAATTAATATACCCATAAATAATCATCTAAGCCGTTAAATGAAGCACTAAGGGTTAGGATCACCATAGCTTTATCCGACATAATTTATAGGAATGAACAACTGTCCCTGTTAGTGCAAATGCCACGGCTCAAGAGTTCTATGCATCCACGATATCCCAACGAAGCTGCAACTCCCGAGGCAGGCACAAACATCAAGACATCAATTCCCCTTATCCCATCCTTCTAATATCTACTCACACACACAGCCATATATATACATATATATATATATATATATATCATATCATATAAGTATATAACGTCACAGCTGATAACTCTCACGCACATAAAGCCATGCACCGCCTGCGTCTTTAGCCCATAACGATAACGCTTCACGTACCTATCTATCCACTTGCTTCTCTTTCGTAATACTTTAATTCACCCCTTAAAAAATTCAAGAAAAAAAAAAAAAGAAAAAACCTTGAGCTAAAACGATCACCACCTTCTATATATTCAATAACATCTTCATATATATATATATATATACGCAATATATATGTTTGATATTATATATTATTTCTAATATATACTACTAGTTTACTAGAGAGACGCCCGAAGAAAAATGATCATGGAAGGATTCGGAACATATGGAACCACGCCAGGAGGGAGGCGGCAGGTGGGCGTGCAGGGGTATGATGTGCCGGAAGGGGTCGAGATTCGGGGGCGGTACGACGGGGAGTTTGCGAGGATACTGACGAGGGAGGCGGTGCAGTTTGTGGCGGAGCTGCAGAGGGAGTTCAGGAACAGGATTAGGTATGCGCTGGAGTGCAGGAAGGAGGCCAAGAGGAGGTACAATGACGGGGCGCTGCCGGGGTTCGATCCGGCCACCAAGTACATTAGAGAAGGTGACTGGGTCTGCGCCGCGGTGCCGCCTGCCGTGGCGGACCGGAAGGTGGAGATCACCGGCCCGGTTGAGCGGAAGATGATTATTAATGCACTCAACTCCGGAGCTAAAGTTTTCATGGTAATGAATATATAATTGTTATTTTAGTTGCAAATTTAGCTTACTGGTAATATTAAAGTAAATTCTAGTATTAATTGGTCAGACATATTTTTTTTTACTTTTTCATATTTTCACGACAAACATATGTTATAGATGCTTAGTCATGAGTATCAAGTTTATATGACCCATCACTTTCTTATGTGGTCCAACCGAAGCTCTTCAATTGTTTCCAACTTTTTAATTAAGACGTAGGCTATTATTAGACAACACTAAAATTTAATTGTTATAGCAACGTGGTTAATTAGTATTTTTGTTCGTTGTGCCTTTTAATTTTGGGAAGAAAATTAAAACAGCGCAGTAACAAGAACGGTGAAATAACATTGTAAGCTTTCACCTGTTTGCTTATCTTCAGTAGAATATCTCGCTACATGTTTCTCAACATTATATCAGGTCAAAATCATATCAAAATAATAAAAAAAATCTACAAAATTAACAAAATCTAAAACATTAGACTTTTAAAATATTTTGACATTAAATTATAGAAAATGAAAAGTTAATAAATTATTAATTGATTGGCTAATTCGGCAGGCTGACTTTGAGGATGCACTTTCACCAAGCTGGGAAAACCTTATGAGAGGCCAAGTAAATCTGAAGGATGCCGTTAATGGGACTATAAGCTTCCATGACAAGGCCAGAAACAGGGTTTACAAGCTCAATGACCAAACTGCCAAGCTATTTGTGCGCCCCAGAGGCTGGCACTTGCCTGAGGCTCATATACTTGTTGATGGTGAGCCTCTCACTGGCTGCCTTATGGACTTTGGCTTCTATTTCTTCCACAACTATGAAGCATTCCGCCGCATCCAAGGCGGCGGGTTCGGACCTTTCTTCTACCTTCCCAAAATGGAGCATTCAAGGTGATTACAAGTCTTGAATCACTTCATACTTTTTGCAGCCAAATGGAAAAATAAATAATAAAAATAATTAAAAAAAAGGTTGCTTCCTTTTGTTAAAACTAACAAGTGAATGGTTAAAACAAAAAATTGATTTCAACTTCGTTGTTATCCTAGAAGTGATACTGCCACTTGGCTCTAGTAGAGTTGGGCATCAGAATTGCCCATCTATCTAGGTCCCGTTCCTTTAACCGATTCGAGTTTTATTACAGTAAAAAGCTCTCAGATATAATCACATATATTTTTTTACTATAATAAAAAGTTATCATATAAAATCATATCTTAACTCGAATTAAAAACTCGAATCAGCGAATTAAACGAGTCCCTATTACAAAATAACTTTTGGGCCCTCTGGAGTTAGGGACCGAAAGAGATAATAATTGCATGGGGTCCAAACCTGTGTCTTGCGAGAGCATAAAATGGTTGTCCTTAATTATTTTTGTGGGGGATAATAAAAATTTATATAGATTTAAAGGGGAATAAAACAGTTTTTCTTAATTTTTATGGGGGCTAATATGTTAATTTTTGCCTAGATCCGTCCATGCTTGATAGTGTACAATTTCTAAATGAAACCCATAAACTTTCTAGAAACAGACAGTTACTTGATTAAGTATAAAATGAACATCTTCAATCATTTTTTTTAGTTTATTTATGGAAAGAAAAGTCAATTTAGATGAGCTACAATAGTTAAATTGATGACATAAATTTATTAATTCCATTGTTGGCAGGGAAGCAAAAATATGGAACTGTATTTTTGAGAAGGCCGAGAAGATGGCAGGGATAGAGAGAGGAAGCATAAGGGCAACTGTTCTGATTGAAACGCTTCCAGCTGCGTTTCAAATGGATGAAATACTGCATGAGCTGAGGGACCACTCTGTTGGGTTGAACTGTGGAAGGTGGGACTACATTTTCAGCTATGTCAAGACCTTCCAGGCTCACCCCGACCGCCTATTGCCAGACAGGGTTCTCGTCGGCATGACTCAACACTTCATGAAGAGTTACTCCGACCGCCTCATTTGGACATGCCATAGGCGCGGCGTCCATGCCATGGGCGGCATGGTATGTAAAACTCTCATTTTACATTCATGTCCTGTTCATTTTACCGATTCAAACTCTCAGAATTAATAACATTTAATTTTTTTACTACAATAAAAAGCTCTCACATAAAGTCGCATCTCAACTCGAATTAAAAATTCGAATCAACGAACTAAACGAACCTTCAGTATTGACTATAATTCAAAATAATTTTTAACGGATAAAATATTTTTTCATGACCATTTTTTTTTTTTTAAAAAAAAAACAAAAAAACTTTGGATTTATTATTGACACTTGCAACATAGTATATTTTGAATGTGCCAAGTCAATGTTAAATTTGACCATAGCAATAATTTCCTAAGCAGAAATATAGAGGATACGTGTTAGGCTTTTTATGTGAGGAGGCACCTGATTTACTGTTCTTTAAACAGTGTTTGGTCTTTCTTGTTCCTCAACTTCTGAAAAATTCCTTCTGTATCCCTTTACTTTTGCTTTTACCATTTTTTCCTTTAACTTCTTACTCCACTTATTTTTTGTTTGGGCGTTTTGGTCATTTCAGTGGAAATGAAGCCTCCTTGGGAGGTGCATTTTGTTTCGTTTTTTGTTTCTTTCCCGCAGAGAGAGAGAGAGAACTCTACGTGGGAAAGAGAGAGGGATTGGGGAGTGGTGGGCCCCTCTGGAAAAAGAGTGGGAGAGCTACTTGGAAAAGAGAGAAAGAAAGAGAGGGAGTGGTTGGACCCACCTAAGAAAAGAGAGAGAAAGGGAGAGAGGAGAAAGAGACTATCTGATTTATTTATATTTTTCATCGGATGGTAAAAAAATCGGTTTTATTTACTAATTATTATTATTTTTTTATATTTACTATTAATTTTGAGTTTATTTGTAGTCTAATTTTATTCATTCTAACACGGTTTCGCACTAAATTTTGATATTGTTTAAATAAAAATACTATAAATATTTCAATAAAAGTTAAAATTTATACTAAAATAAAATAAAAACACATCAAATTAAATAAAAATAAATTAAACAAAATCAAATGGAATTAATTTAAACACAACAAAATAATATAAAATCTTATTTCTTTGTCTTTTGCTCTAATTTTCTTTTTCACGTCTTTATTTCTTTTACCTCTTATTATCCTCCGCTTCTTCTTCTTCTTCTTAAATATATATATATTTTTAAAAATAATTTAATAACTGTTATTTTAAATGAATCGCACACCGATAATAACTAGTATATGATTATAAAGGGTGGATTAATAAAAATAAAAAATGTTGATCAACTGTAACAGGCAGCTCAGATTCCAATCAAAGATGACCCGGCTGCAAATGAGGCTGCACTTGATCTGGTGAAGAAGGACAAACAAAGAGAAGTGAGAGCAGGACACGATGGGACATGGGCAGCCCACCCAGGACTAATCCCAGCTTGCTTGGAAGTCTTCAACAACAACATGGGCAACTCCCCCAACCAAATCCAAACCGCAAAGCGAGAGGAGGCCGCCAACCTCACCGAGGAAGACCTCCTGCAGAGGCCGCGGGGAGTGCGAACCATGGAAGGCCTGAGACTCAACACCCGGGTGGGAATCCAGTACCTCGCAGCATGGCTAACCGGGTCGGGATCGGTGCCTCTCTACAACCTCATGGAGGACGCCGCCACGGCTGAGATAAGCAGGGTTCAGAACTGGCAGTGGCTCAGATATGGGGTTGAGCTTGATGGAGACGGGCTTGGTGTTAGGGTCAGTAAAGAGCTTTTCTTTAGAGTCGTTGAAGAAGAGATGGCAAGGGTTGAAAGAGAAGTAGGGAAAGCCAGGTTCAACAAGGGAATGTTCAAGGAGGCTGGGAAGATGTTCACAAGGCAATGCACAGCTCCAACACTCGATGATTTCCTCACTCTTGATGTCTATAACAACATTGTCGTGCACTATCCGAAGTTTGCATCATCTAGGCTCTGAAATTTTAATTATTAATGTTCCATCTTATAAATCCCAATACTGCTTGTAATTGAATGTTTGTATTGTCTGTCTTTTGTTTGCTTCTTTGTTTTAGCAGCACTGAAAAATAATGAGCGCCCCTTTTTTGTTGCGCTTGCAGTTTGTAAGAATAAAAGCTCAACATCTTTAAGGTTTGATCAAGCTTTAGATTGTGAGAAGTACTATTTCATTATCTCAGTTAACTTGTCCAAAATTTAAATGGATTTCATAACGATTCGACTTTTCGGTCCTCTACTTAGTTTGTTTAAATCATGATTAATTTATCTTAAAGTATCTATTTAAATTTAAACATATTTTTAGTTACTAAAATTTCTCAGATTTTTTTAATAGAATAAACATAAAACTTCTTTTCGTAACAATAACCTGGGTAAGTGTAACTAAATCAAAATTTAGAAGTGTGAATCCTTAAAGTCAAAACTGAAAATTTCCCAAGAATTGAGGAGATATAAAGTGAGATTAACTCTTTATTTATTTTCTCCTCACATCAGTACCTTACACTTGTCCAATGTGGTCAACATTTGGTCTCTTATCCTTCTGTCACATTTTCCTTTCACACTTTTTGGTTGTTCTCCATAAATGAATCTCTTATTCAGCGAAGCTATAATTAATACAAGTTCGTGCATGCTGTCACTCATGATATAACAATATAAGAACCAAGGCCACACAAACTATCCATGATATTCTGCCACATGTAAAAAATGAACTGGTTTGGTTTCATCTATGGTACGAGAAAGCTTGACTTAGCTTAGCTAACAGTCAGTCATGGGAATCCCATGCGAAGAAAAACAAAACCAAAAAGGGGGAGCCGGTCATTTTCACTCTGGATGCTTGATACTTCATTATATGCACTTGTCTTTTGAAAAATAAAAAATTAATATTCACTAAGACTTGAACTTAGAGCTAAAAATTTAGGCTGTCCGGCTTGATCAAAACGTCCAAAACATGAAATTGAGTCGGGTTGTGCCAGTCCAGTTGAGCATATGATCGGTCCAATCTGACATGAAAATCATAATTGATTGAGTAAGGTCGGCCCGCATTTTTTTAAGAACAAAGTTTTAAAAACCCCTAACCGGGATTGGGTTGAGCCATTTTTTTTTCTAAATCTTCGGCCAAGGGAGTTTAGGTTAGGCTCGGTCCAAAGAACTAGGCTTTCAGTCTGCCTCTTTAATTTTGTCTAAATTTACAGCTCTACTTAAACTCATAATTTTATATATTAAAAACAATTTACACACCCTTTAAACAACAATTAATATAGTCTCAATTGGTTTTGATGTTCTGTTTTCATTTACACTTGTCTTATATAAGACTCAATATTAAAAATATTCATTTTTAAAGGTCTAACTACCTTGACATTTTTAAAGGTCTAACTACCCTGACATTTTTAAAATATATAATTTTGATAATTTATAAATAAATTATCTATATAACATGCGAGAATGTATCGTGAAGATGTTAAGAGAGATAAAATGAGGAAAAAAGCAATTGAAAAAAAAAAGAAAGTAAAAAATAAAATAAAATTTGAAGTAGAAAAACCAAATTGTGTCATCCAATTCAGATTTGATATTTTTTTTTCCTTTGGAATGATTTTTTTTTTGTATACATTTTTATTTTTACCATTTTATTCCTCTTAAAACTCTCACATGTCATTTTTGTGTAAAATTTTATATAAAAATAGGCAGTTTATTAAACAGGAGCCAAACGCGTATGTTTTCTTTCTCGTTGAATGAAGATCGGTTTTGGTTAGAAATAATTTCTAATTGCATTTATGCTTTTATAAGTTCCGATATGATTGTTTCTGATTAATAAATTTCACTTCACCTTAAAAAAAAAAAAAAAAAGATAGCTAAACTTCTAAAAGTAGTATAAAATAAGACAATGCATATCCTTAGAAACTGTTGGGTGATATTCGGTGGACATGAAAAAAAGAAAAAGAAAAAAATAGAGAAGAAGTAGGAGAAGAAATCTACCATAATTACTATCATATAATAATATGCTTTTAATGTTTTTCCATGGAAAAAGTTTGGCTAACTCGACAATGACATAAAATATTGTATTAAATAAATAGGAAGCAAACAAAATGATACCACTTTCTATTTTCTCTCTATTCTTGGTCTCTCATCTCCAAACTAGATAGTTTTTCCACAAGGTAAATTGTTTGAAAGTTTCTGTTCTGACCCCTTATCTGTGGAAAAAACACTAAAGCAGCAGCCATGAGCGAAGCTTGCCCTAACGAGGAATCTACGATGTATGTTTCTCCATCTTCCTTTTGTTAATTTCCTTTGTCTCTTCCATATCATGTCATTGTCTTATATATATATATATATATATAATTTCACTCTTCTTCTCATAAAGCCAAAAGGAAGAAAAAATGAAGAAATTTCTTGAAAACAAAACCCTCTTTTCAGCTATATTACCATTTCCTTTAAGTACTCCTATCGTGCCTTTCAGGAAGTAATTGCTTCTATGTTTCATGTATAGATTAGAGTACTCTATCTCACGAGAAAGAGATCGTCCTTATACACACACACACACACAATATAACAATATATATATATGTATGTATATTGCATTATTTTTGTGTCAATCGTCATCTTCGGTTCATTGCTGGGAATAAATTTTCTTACAAGCTTTTTGGCTTTTTCTTCGGTTCAGTATTTTGTCCTTTTGTCAATTTTCTTTTTGGCTTAATCAAACTTCATTTTTGTTCTCATTTATGAAGTTGTATTTATGCAGACTTTAGATACGGGTGGTAGATAATTTATATATATATATATATCCAGATCTACATCGTACAACTTCATTTATGATCATGGTTTGCAGTTTCTAATTGGATCTTTGCTTTTTCTCCCTAGATCTGCTAGATCCAACAATTTATGGAGCCAAAATATTTACATATGATTATATGTACATTATTTTTTGAGTCATGATCTTATACACAAAAAGAGTTCATTTGATCTTGATATTATCGGTACTATTGGAAAAGTAAATAAATAAACAAATTAAACTGAAAATCATATAGTCAATATCAGTTTCTATCTGGATTAGTATAGTATCCATTAAAATAGGTAATTTAATCAAAATTGAGACATAATATATATAAAATATGCTTCTTTCACTATTAACCATTTCCTTTTCTCCTTATTTCACTTTTTATTATTTCATCCAAATTAATTTGTAATACTTCTTTCTAGAATTAGTTTTTTGCCATGGCTTTCTTGATCTTGCCCCATTTCTTTGTGCTGTCTATAATTAGGGAATCTGAGTGGCAAGAGGGACTAGAAGAAGAGCAAGATATGGACCCAGAAACTGAAAAATATACATATAAATTGGTCTTACCAGAAGATGGATATGAATGGAAAAAATATGGCCAGAAGTTCATAAAAAACATCGGAAAGTTCAGGTATATATAATTTTCATGTGTGTCATGTGAATGAAATTAATTTTTTTGATAAATAAAGATAGAGAATACTAGGTTGGCATCTACTAAACTTGTTATCCAATGTCTGGCTCTCCCACTTTTTTCAACTTGAAGAAGAAAAATTACAACATCTGAAAGATAAAATAAAACAAGACAGGTCAAAAGGTGATATATATATATATATATATATATGGGAAAGAAATTAATTGCATAATGAGATGTTTATGTTTCAGGTATATATATGTATTATGCGTCTTCTAGTACCACATCTATATATATAGCTCGTGCATGTACATCACACACACACATATATATGTATGCATAGAATGCCACGACTATATATCATGATGGTGATCATATTTGTAGTATATTTGTCATTGATTTGTGATGAATATATATATATATATATAGGAACACATAACCATTTGTTGGCTTCTGCAGGCGAAAGCTCACAAGGCAGTTCATCATCATCATCATCAAGCGCCAACCAATATAACCTGTTGACCCAATTAATCAATCTCCGCAAAAATTCATGATCATGAAGCAGTACTACTAGTGATTAATCTTATATAATTAGTTTCTAAATTAATCAATATATGATGATCCAAACCCTCTTGGAGTAGTACTCATGAATGTAATTAGCCAGTAACGTACGTGCCATTGGAACTATAGACTTTATTTGCACACATTCATGCCCATATAAGCTAGTTAGGCCAATGATGTGGCTCAGCATAGGATTCAATCATCTATCCAATTTTAGTGTCAAAAATTGGTGTTTAATCAACTGCATCATGCCGCGTCATTTAAAAAAATTCTAATGTTCTTTAATTCAAATTTTTATCCTTGTCCATTAAATGATGTGCAGTTTGATATGATCGGTTAAACACGATTTGGGACACAAAAATTGGATAAGTGATATGAGTCCATAAGCATATATGTATACATGTATATATCCAGCTACTCATTAATCATAATGCATACTGTTTTCTTATGTGTGTAATTATATAATAATGTAGTAACACGCTCTTTCGTCTCTATTTTGTATATACTTTCTCCTTTTTCTACACTCGCACACAAACGTTCTATAAACTTTACTACCTAATTGTTATAAGTAGCATCAAAACCAAAATTTTCTTTTCCTCTCATTAGTGATAAAACCAGGATTTAAATCCAATGGCGCACAATTAAAGACAATTTGTAAACAAAAATAATAAAAGAAATAAAATAAAGCACTTCAAATATCGGGTAGTAAAGTAATATATTATAATTGTTCTGGATGAGTTTTCATGCTTTAACGTCTTTGCAAATTAAACTCATTATCAATATTATTAAAAACATATTATAGGGTAAAAATATCAATTAAAATATAAATTGAGAAAGGAAAAAAACGTGTAACTATAAGAAGATTCCTACGATTAAAAACCACCGACATGTCAAGATCCAAATTAGAACCGATTTTTGGTCTCAGTCAGTGACCTTTGTTGTTCGCCCTTAATCTGAGAACCATTTCATTTATTCACTATGAATTCTGAAATATTATCGTAACCATTAAAAACTCGTCCTATGTATACATATTAAGTTATTTGGCTGAGAGTATGCCTTCAAGTTGATAGAACAAGCGCACACACAAGCATGCATAATATAAAGAACAAGAGGCGTGCTGACACTTACTGAAGAAAAAGATTGGTATACACATGATAATTAGTTAGTATATGAACTTGAT